TAAACTGTGGTCAATGTCATGAGACTAAGTATATGTAAACTGTTGTATGGAAAGTGAATTTGCTCTGTAAATCTTTACCCAAATCACAATAAAAGAAAAAAAAAAGTATCCTTCAAAAAACAAAACTGTGAGAAGGCCAACATGGCTGGGACAAAGCAATAGTGAGGGAAAATGGTAGAAGTTGAGGTCAGAGATGTCACAGGGGCCAGATCATGTGAGACTTTGGCTTTTATACCAAATGAGTTGGATTCCTGGAGGACTTTGAGCTGAGAAAACTCATGGTGTGACATATTTTTAAAGTAGTGTTCTTGTTTAGCTAACTTATTTTCCTGCTGCTTCTCCATCAGTGGCTACTTGGATAAAATAGCATTGTTGTTGTTAGGTGCCATCGAAGTCAGCTCAGACTCATAGTGACCCTATATACAACAGAAGGAAACACTGCCCAGTCTTGTGGCAGCCTCCCAATCTTTGCTATACCTAAGCCCATCGTTGCAGCCACTATGTCAGTCCATCTTGTTGAGGGCCTTCCCCTTAGGCAGCTCTTCTTCAGTCATATTTTGAGTGCCTCCTGACCTGAAGTGTTCATCTTCCAGCACTATATGGAAAAATGTTTCAGCACTATTCTTATGTTTTCCAGTAATATATTAGATAGTATTTCACTGCTTTTCATAAGGTTTTCAGTGGCCAATCCTTTGAGAAGTAGATGGCCCCTTCCTTCTTCTGAGTCTGTCTTAGTCTGGAAGCACCGCTGAAACCTGCTGGTATTTGAAATACCAGTGCCATAGCCTCCAGCCTCACAGCAACACACAAGCCACAACAGTATGACAAACTGACAGATGAGTGGTGGAAAATAGCAGTGTTGTGAATAGAATTTAAGCCAAGGTTTAATAGTGGCTACCTATTTCATCATAGGCCAGCCCTGGGACCAGCGGAAGGTGGGTGTTTGTGTGCATGGAGCTTCCCCAGGGGTAGGCCACAGTAAACCAGCCCCAGGACCAGGGAAAAATGGGTGTTTGCATGCATGGAGCTACCCCGGGGGCAGATCGCAATAAGCCAGCACTGGGACCAGCGGAAGGCAGGTATTTGTGCCTGAGGGGCAGGTCAGGTAATCGAGCAGGGCAGGGGAGACCAGGAAATGAGCAGAGCAATTTGGAACAGCTAAGGGAGACAAACTTGACTGTCAGTTTGTCGTACTGTGGTAGCTTGAGTATTGCTGTGAGGCCGGAGGCTGTACCACTGGTGTTTCAAATGCCAGCAGGGTTACCCATGGTGGACAAGTTTCAGTGGAGCTTCCAGACTAAGATAGACTTGGAAGAAGGAAGAGACCATCCACTTCTCAAAGAATTGGCCAGTGATAAGGTTGGGCAATCCTACTTCTGTAGTGATACTGCCTCGGAAACCCAAGGAGGGGTCACTATGAGTCGGGGCCGACTCGACAGCACATAACAACAACAATAACAACAACCTTATCAATAGCATGAAACACAGTCTGACATATTACAGGAAAATTTTATGAATAGCCCTGAAAGGTGTGTGATATATAGTGCCAGAAGATGAGACCCTCAGGTCAGAAGGCACTCAAAATATGACTGGAGAAGAGCTGCCTCCTCAGAGTAGAGCCAACCTTAATGATGTAGATAGAGTAAAGCTTTCAGGAGACCCCTATTTGCTGATGTGGGATGTCTCAAGATGAGAAGAAACAGTTGCAAACATCCGTTAATATTCGGAACATGAAATGTACAAAGTATGAATCTAGGAAAATTGGAAGTTGTCAAAAATGAAATGGAATACATGAATATTGATATCCAAGGCATTGGTGAGCTGAAATGGATTGGTTTTGGCCATTTTGAATCAGACAACCATATGATCTACTATGCCAGAAATGACAAATGGAAGAAGAATGGCATGGCATTCATCATCACAAAGAGTGTATCAAAATCTATCCTGAAATACAATGGTGTCAGTAATAGGATAATACTCATACGCCCACAAAGAAGACCTGTTAATACTACTATTATTCAAATTTACACACCAACCACCAAAGCCAAAGATGAGGAAATTGATGATTTTTACCAATTTCTGCAGTCTAAAATTGATAAACATGCGATCAAGATGTGTTATTTATCACTGGTGATTGGAATGTAAGAGTTGGAAACAAAGAAGAATCACCAGTAGTGGGAAAATATGGCCTTGGTGAGAGAAATGATGCTGGAGATAGCATGATAGAATTTTGCAAGACCAACTACCTATTCATTGCAAATACCTTTTTTCAACAACACAAACAAAGGCTATACATGTGGACTTTTCCAGATGGAGTATACAGGAATCAGATTGACTACGTCTGTGGCAAGAGGCAATGGAGAAGCTCAATTATCTTCAGCCAAAACAAGGCCAGGAGCTGACTGTGGAACAGACCATCAACTGCTCACATGCAAGTTCACAATGAAGCTGAAGACAATTAAAACAAGTCCACAAGAGCCAAAATATGACCTTGGTTTTATCCCTCCTGAATTTAGAGACCATCTAAAGAATAGATTTGATGCATTAAACACCAGTAATCGAAAAGCAGACGAATTGTGGGATGACATCAAGAACATCATCCATGAAGAAAGCAAGAGGTCATTTAAAAGACAGGAAAGGAAGAAAAGACCAAAATGGATGTCAGAAGAGACTCTGAAACTTGCCCTTGAGTGGCTGGAGAGTAGCTAAAGCAAATGGAAGAAATGACAAGATAAAAGAGCTGAACAGAAGATTTCAAAGAGCACCTTAAGAAGACAAAGCCAATCACTAAAATGAAATATGCAAAGCCCTGGAGTTAGAAAACCAAAAGGGAAGAACACACTTGGCATTTCTCAAGCTGAAAGAACTGAGGAAAAAAAATAAGCCTTGAATTGCAGTATTGAATGATGCCATGGCCAATATGTTGAATGATGCAGGAAACAGCAAAAGAAGATGGAAGGAATACAGAGTCACTATACCAAAAAGAATTAGTAGATGATCATCCATTTCAGGAGGTGGCATATGATCAAGAACCAATGGTATTAAAGGAAGACATCAACACTGCCCTGAAGGAATTGGTGAAAAACAAGGCTCCGGGAATTGATGGAATAGCCATTGAGATGTTTCAACAAAAGAATGCCACTCTGGAGGCACTCACTCAGCTATGCCAAGAGATTTGGAAAACAGCTACCTGGCCAGCTGACTGGAAGAGGTCCATATTTGTACCCATTCCAAAGAAAGGTGATCCCACAGAATGTGGAAATTATTCAACAATATTATTGATGTCACATGCAAGTAAAATCTTACTGAAGATAAGTCATAAACAGTTGCAGCAGTATATTGACAGAAAACTTCCAGAAATACAAGCTGGATTCAGAAGGGGACGTGGAGCGAGGCACATCATAGTTGATGTCAGATGGATCTTGGGTCAAAGCAGAGAATACCAGAAAGATGTTTACTTGTGTTTTATTGACTATGCAAAGGCATTCGATTGTGAGGCTCATAACAAATTGTGGATAGCATTGAGAAGAATGGGATTTCTAGAACACTTAATTGGGTTCACGAAGAACCTGTACATAGACAAAGAGGCTGTCGTTTGAATAGAAAAAGGGGATACTGCATGGTTTAAAATCAGAAAGGGAGTGCATCAGGGTTGTATCCTTTCACCATACTTATTCAATCTGTATGCTGAGCAAATAATCCAAGAAGCTGGACTATATGAAGAAGAATGTGGCATCAGGATTGGAGGAAGGCTCATTAAAAACCTGAGATACACAGATAACACAAATTAGCTTGCTGAAAGTGAGGATGACTTGGAGCACTTACTGATAAGATTAAAGACTACAGTCTGCACTATGGATTACACCTCAGTATAAAGAAAACAATAATCCTCACTACTGGATCAATAAGCAGCATCACGATAAATGGAGAAAAGATTGAAGTTGTCAAAGACTTCATATTGCTTGGTTCTACAATCAACACCAATGCAAGCAGCAGTCAAGATATCAGACATCGTATAGCATTGAGCAAATCTGTTGCAAAAGACCTCTTTCAAGTCCTGAAGAACAAAGATATCTCCTTGAAGACTAAGATGCACCTACCAAGCCATGGTATTTTCATTTGCCTCATATGCATGTGAGAGCTGGACAGTGAATAAGGAAGATCAAAGAAGAGTTGATGCTTTTGAATTGTGATGTTGGTGAAGAATGCTGAAAGCACCATGGGCTGCTAAAAGAACTAACAAATCTGTCCTGGAAAAAGTGCACCTGGAATCCTTCTTGGAAGTGAGAATGGCCAGACTTTGTCTCACCTACTTTGGTCATGTTGCCAGAAGGGACCATTCTCTGGAGAAAGATGTCATGCTTGATAAAGTGGACGGTCAATGAAAGAGGGGAAGATCCTCAACAAGATGGACTGACACAGTGGCTGCAGCAATGGGCTCAGGTATAGTAGGGATCATGAGGCTGGCACAGGACCGGGCAGTGTTTTGTTCTCTTGTACAAAGGTTCACTATGAATCAGACCCAACTCAAGGGCACATAACAACAGCAACATTTTATCATTACTTCTGTAGTTTTTTTTTTAAAAAAAAAAAAAAAAAACCTTTTTTTCTTCTTTCTCCCTTCCATTCCCTATCTTTCCTACCTTAATAATATGAATCTCTAGCCATGGCTCTGGTAGCGTAGTGCCTAAGGCACTTGACTGCTAAACAGAAGGCTGGCGGTTCAAACCCACCAGCCACTCCTCGGAAGGAAGGTTGGGCAATCTACTTCTATAGTGATACTGCCTCAGAAACCCAAGGAGGGGTCGCTATGAGTTGGATCTGACTCAACAGCACATAACAACAACAGCCATGGCTCTAATGTGAAGAGAAAGAACAGTGTTAACCCCAGGAGAACACTGAAATGATAGCCTCAATACCTTACATTAGTGGAGTTGAAAATCTGTTTTTCTGCCAATTAAGCTTGTGGTACAGCTCTTATCCTTCACATTCTCCAGCTGATTTGGTACTTAAACGGATTCTCCAAAAGTATGAAAGGCTAAGGATAAAATTATACACGCAGGCAGGTTTTCCTTAGGAGAACGTTAGTGTTAAACTGGACAGAAGGTCTGTTTCTCACACTCCCCATTCTCTGAAGGTGCATTCTGATGGATTAGACTGTAATTGCTTTCTCTCTTTTTCCACACAGGGAAACTATGTGTCTGCAAGAGCTTATTATGAGAAAGCCTTGCAGCTGGTTCCAGAGAGCAAACTGCTGAAGGAAAATCTAGCTAAATTGGATCGTCTAGAAAAACGATTACAAGAAGTTCGAGAAAGGGATCAAACATAACAGCATTTTGACCCAGTCTTGTGGGACACTGCTAGTAGCTCTGGAAGAGGAGAAAATAATGGAAGCCCTGCATTCACATCACCAATGTCACAACCAATGAAGCTTTCCTCTTACCCCTGGTTCAAAGTGGCAGATTTTGGACACCTGCTGGTAACCCTGGTACTGAGAGACTTGCATTTCCATGAAAGAAGACAAAAAGAGCAAGCAAGGTCAAGGAAGTCTGGGAGGGAAGGAAAACAACAGCAACACATTTTACAGATTTCTTCTTGGCTTAACTCCAGATTTCCCTTCGTGTACTGCTGCGCTTTGCAACCTGGAGATCTCGTTCAATGTGTTAGTTTAGTTTTTTATGCCCCACACATATAAAAGGTTAGAGTGCTATGAAGACAGAGCATCTATTGTTCATGAGATAAGATATTTAAAAGATGATAAATTCTCTGGGGTAAGCCATTTGGGAAATTATACAAAGAGATGACTCGTTTAATTCACCAGAACCAGAAATGAGTATCTGTAGTCTTTGTAGAACCTTCCAGAATATGTGGAGAAAGGGCTATTGTTAAATGAGCACATCTAGCATTCCCCAAGGGACATTACTAGAGGCTTGTGAAAGAGTTAACTAAATCCCACTCTGATGCAAGCTTTTCCCACTGGTGAATATATATGAAAAGGGAAGCTTCTGAAATTGTGCATGGATATCCTTGCCCCTAAGGGAAAATTCAAGGAGCTTAGTTCTCTAATTCTTTAGGGAAACATTTAAAATGATTTTAATTTTATTATAAGTATTCCTAGAGTAGTGGTTCTGCTCTAAGAGTTCAGAAGTGCTTTTACATTCATACATTTTCCTGCCTCCAAATATATTGTTATTTTGGTGGAGAAAAAGAAACAGTATATTCTACAAGAGAATTATTAAAGATATAAACTGAGAGAAATGTACTACTTTATTATCTTAATGTTCAGACATGAGATTATTTTTCTGAAAAATATATTTAATCATTGAGGATTCCTTACAGTGTATCACAGAAATCTTCCTAGACCCTAACTACATGGAAAGAGAACTCAATTTATTGGTCTTCTTTGGCATAATAGGAATTCTGTACTTAGAATATGAGTGGTTGAAACCTAGAGTCCTTGGTTCTATAATTTTAATTTGGGAGATTTTATGGAGAATGTTCAAAGAATCTAAGAGGGAAAAAAAATCTAAATTCCTAATTAAAAATATATATTTATATTTATATTTAAAAGGTAGGGAAGGCAAAGTTGAACTTATAATTTGGACATCTATTTTTAGTATTATTTATTTCTTAACTTATGGAATATTTAATATATATATATATACATTTTTTCTTCCTTTTTCTTAGTAGTTTGTATATGAACTTTCAACACTGATCACATAAATCTAAATTACAAAGTAGTTCAGTTTTAACAGATCAAAAAACTAGTATAGATTAGTCCCTTGTAATTAGAGATCAGTCTTCAGTGTTTGGATGGTAGTGTATTTTGGAAGTGAAGAAATTAGAACACAGTATTCTAATTTGATCATGACTGTAATAAAAATCATCACTTGGGCTGTGCTGTTCTCAGAGCTGAGGCAGGCATCATACTGATGTGGTAGCCTGGAGTCATCTGTATTTCACTTGCTCTGGCAAATGCAGGGTCAAAAGCACCTACTTCTTTTCAACCCAGTGTCAGGAAGCATTGCCTCCCTATGTTCTTATGTTTTAGTTAAAGTGAGTCTAAAATAAGAGGAAGAAAATGTCTTTGGGAGAAGATGGAGAGGAAAATAATTTAAATGCAAAAGATTATAAAATTTGAATTAGCATGCATCTATTTGTGTGCATCCAGTAATGTACATATCACCATAATGGTCACCAGCTTCTAATTGCCTTTCCATGTAATATATCCCAAATTTATCTAAAATTTTATTTGAGGTGTTTTCTTTTCCCTAGAATTACACTTTAGTCCTTAGGGCAAGAAATTAATTACAGTTTTTATTGTTAAATTATGTCCACCCCCATCCAAATTGAAAACGGGAAGCTGTAGGCATTTATCACAGCTTTTCAGAATAATCTGTAACTCAAATTTAGGCTTAGAAAGTTAATGGAAAAGACTGAGCCCCATATTTTGAAAAACCATATGCCTTATTTGAAGTGCTGTGAAAGGTGTGAGCATTATTTGTTGAAGGAATTGAAATGATGGTTATAGCTTAACATTTTTTGAGGAAAAGGGTCACATGGTCTTCAGGCAACTTTCTCTGCCTTCGTTGGGGTGCATTATTTTCTGTCTTTCTGTTTGCATACTTAGTATCTCTGAGCATTAAAAGTAAGCACTATTTGTGGAATCAGATATTTTTGTCTTGAGGTAGTACCTTCATTAAGATGTGGCCAATGTGATAGTTTTCACAATTGAAAAGATGCCTATAAGAGAATAATTTCTATATTTTACTCGAAAGGTATTAGGTATATTTTGGAATGTTTTTCATTCTGCCCTTGTAATATGAAATAATATGTAGACCTCATCCTTATCAGAATAAAAATGGTATGCCCTGGCTTGTCGTAGAAATACATGCCAAAAAGAAAAACCTAACTAGTTGCCATGGAGTCAGTTTCAACTCAAGATGACCCCATGTTTGTCAGAGTCGAACTGTGCTCCATAGGGTTTCAATGGCTGATATTTTGGAAGTCCATCACCAGCCCTTTCTTGTAAGGGGCCTCTGGGTGGACTCAAACTTCCAACCTTTTGGTTAATGGCTGAGTGTATTAATTGAATACACCACCCAGAATCTCAGAGATGCATCCAGTTTGCCTTTAATGAAGGCCACTGAAACCATGTGAAACTGTTCACCACAGATTAGTAAGTAAACACAAGCAAGCACATGCTTACCTGGCTTACTAGGTACTCTGACCCTGTCAGACATTGTAAATTTGGAAAGAGGCTTTGATTCTGTAGGAAGGTGCTCTGGCATTGGGAGAGAGCCACATAGTAGCCATATCTAGAAGCAGAATCTTTGAGTTGGTGAGAAAATGTGAAATTATTCACTACAGATTAGTAAGCACAAGTAAGCCTGTGCTTACCTTTTTATTAGATAATCAACACTAGTGACTGGGACCCAAAAAGAGTTCATTTTATGAAGAATTTATGAAAATTCTTGACAGTGATGTTTTGGGAGCTTAAAGTATGCAATTGTTTTCAGTCTATTAAAAATATTCTGAAAACATGATTCAGTGATGTAAAATGGATGAACTAAACCAAAGATTTAACTATGTGAGGGGAAAGAAAAAATTATTTTAGGGAATCTTGAGATATATTCATTTGGGTTTGTTTCTTTTGAATCTTATCACAAAACAAAGAGGATTTTCAGCACTTTAATTCAACTCCTTATAATACTTGACAGCCCCTCACATGAAATTCTGAAATACATAGCAGGCAGTGCCCGGGTTGATGCAGGCTTTTTCCTGTGGTTGTGCAAATGCTTCTCATTACTGCTTTTCAGCCAGACTCTAAATGAGAAAACACAAACTGACCTTCAAAAACTGTAATTTCAGGGGCAATAAAAAGCAAATGTATGGTTTTCTGTGGTCTGAAATAACCCAGTTCCTCAGATTGAAGAGCTGCATTCAGCTAATGGTTGAGATCTGTTGTCTCATACACAAAGGCCCTCAACCCTGGCTGCTCTTAGAATCACCTGGGGAACTTTAGAAATCCCTGATACCCTGGCTTCCCAAAACCCAAACACACTGCCCTTGAGTCATTCCAATCACAGGGACCCTGTAGGACAGAGCAGAGCTTCCCCCCTAGGGTTTCCAAGGCTGTGAGTCTTTAAGGAAGCAGATTGCCTCATCAGTCTCTCTGCTGGCTCCCTCGGTGATTCTAATATACAGTTAGACTAGAGAACAGCTGGGAAGCTGACAACTTTGATGGGAGCTTATGACCTTTATAATAGAGAGGTTTATAATCTTTTGTAATTTTTACTTTTAAATCTAGACTAAAATGAACCAAAGAATTGTAAAGCATGATTTATATATGGCACAATTGGTTGGTTGAGGCTATTGTTCCCAAACTGACAAACAGGTGATTGGGTGAGGTGGTTTTGCACTTGTGGCAATTGGACTATGACTTGGCCTTATAGAATTCTCAGATGGAAAGGAATTGTCTTACCATTTGCATGTACCAGACAAGGTGATTTTTTTTTATGACTTGTAGAAGGTGCATACAGCATAGAGTTTATACCTAGATCTGACTCTTATTTGTGTATTCACATGTCAGCTTTTGTTAATTATTTCCTAATTGTATTTGCTAGAATCAGTTTAAAAAAAAAAAAAAACCTTCTGCTTTAATTTGTGGTGGATGTACCCCTTGTTACCCCTTAGATTAATAAACTTGGGAGCTCTGGTGGTGTAGTGCCTAAGGCATTTGACTGCTAACCAGAAGGCTGGCGGTTCAAACCCACCAGCCACTCCTCAAAAGAAAGGTTGGACAATTTACTTCTGTAGTGATATCACCTTGGAAACCCAAGGAAGGGTCGCTATGAGTTGGATCCTACTAGATGGCAGTGGGTTTGCTTTTTTTTGTTTGTTTTTGGTAGGATATTACTAATGATATTGAAAGCAAATGTAGTTATAGGTGTTTGTAATTTTTCCCTAGTTCCTAAGTCAGATACACTTTGATTTGGTTGTATGTTGGTATCTCCCAAATACAAAAAAACCTTAGAGATCTAAATGGTGTCTTCTTTTACTTTTTAAGAGAGTAAATACCTATTAAATCTTGCTTGTAGGCTGCAATGAGTAGGAAAAATGCTTACAGTGCCAAACAATAATACAGGGAAATGTTATAAGTTTGTATGATTATTCTCCAAGTTTTTAATGCAAAAGAGAAATGTGTTGAATAGTTCTTCCGAAAACATCACTTCACTCACTATTTTTGTTTTTTGTAGCCATGTAAGTTAGAGTAAATAAAATAATGGCAATCAAAGTCATGGTTTAATGTCAGTAAAATAAAATGGT